CTCAAGAACTGGGAGTAATCAAGTCGGTAATCAACTCAAGAATTAAATAATGTAACTAAATGAGTTTTAATGTTTATCAGTTTCAATGACAAGGACAAGTTTTAACTCTAGAATATAATTTCTCGTGAACCATTGGGACACTCAAGCTGTCCACCTTTCCACCGAAGGTTCACTCTAGTCCAGTTCAAATAACAATCCAATCGAGTAATGATAATCCAGTTCTCGGGAATACCCTGTCTCTGTTTCAGATGGGACAGCTCTACTCTTGTTTTATTGTGACAGAAATTGCGAATAGCAATTTCCCACTGTTTTATCTAGCAACTTTCCCGCGATTGTTACTCGATTGTTCTGATTTCTCTTTTTCGGTTTTCAGTTATCGCGAGAAAATCGTGCATGACAGGCTCCATTCGAATTTTTGAAAAATTAAATTTCACTCCAAAATCAAGTGCTCTTGCTTTTCTCAAGGTCAAACTTCCAAATATGACCGACTGGCACACGAAGAGGCACTGTTGAAGCAGATCACGGTGTCAAATACATCTGGGTCTGGTACCTCGAAGGCGAAGAACGCGAGGTGAGCAGGTGGCTCAATGGGGAATTCTAGAGTCTTGAGTCTTGAGAGGGAAGGCAAAGGGCTCGAGGGTGAACTGGGATGAAATCTAGGTTCACGAAAAAGAAATTTTAACAAATGAGATATTGTTATTAGTATGTTATATCTATTATATAAATCAAAATGCTGCATGACAACTTCCTGATTGAAAAGGACAATAGAATTTTTAAAATAATAGCTTAAAAAGCGAAAATTCAAAGGTGCAGGTGTGTGCAGATTTTGATTGCTGTTTAGCGATAGTGTGAAAATTTTACATGGTTGTGAATTTTGGGGTGTAGATAAACTTAAGTCTGCTGCAAACTTCTGTAAATGACCATTGGCACTGTATCTTGAGTAACACTCGGGTAGTAACACTCGGGAGTAACTTAACGGATTGTTCCGACCCTGTTTTTAACGGCGTTCGTGTATTTTGGGTATTTTGAGACCTAAGTATGGGGATGTTCTTATTTTCTAGAGTGGGGGGTATTTTGGTAGTGGCCTTCAAGCTGTAACGGGTTCTATTCTCATGTCGCAAGCGAACCGAATTGGCTCCGACTGTTCTTGAGGTAGAAAAACACAAGAGATAGTGTCCCTGACTCTTGAGCCAATGGTTATAGGGCCTATTTTTCTTAAGCCTCATATGTGACCGAAGTAGGCGACTGTTACATTTGTAAATTGATGTTTTATCATCATTTAGATTAGATTATTGTAAAAATCCTGACGATGCACATAGTTGCGAAAACGTTTGAAATTTACTATTTATCAAACATTTCTTTTAAAATTGTTACGTGTCAAGCACGCCCTAATCGAAACTTTAAAAAATGTTTGTTCACTCCAAATTTACCTCTCCCAATTTTTTTTAAACCATTTTTTGACCGTTTTGTTGCCTAAATGTTGACTTAGAAGGTTACAGTATTTAACTAAATTTTCACCATTGTATTGTCAAAATTTTTATTATTTTTTTGACATCAAGGTAAATGGACTCTGGGGAGGCCGATTCTACCGAACCTTTTTCGATGTAAATTTTTCAACCCCTTGCCAAATCCTGCCCTAAAACAATATCTGCCGCCTACAAATATCATGAGAATGTCAAAACAATAAAATACCAACAAAGAATTCTGGATATGGAACACAGCAGCTTTGTTCCACTAATTTTTGTGTGTACCCGAGGAGCAGCACCAGGCTCTACAAAAATCGTTCAGAAATTAGCAGAGAAACAAAGCGAAAAACGAAACGAATCATAAACTTTATAAGAACAAAAATAAGTTTTGCACTTCTAAGGAGTGTAATCCTCTGCCTCAGGGGTTGCAAAAATTTTAAAAATACATCCAACATAGACAATTCTAGCTGCGCTATAATCGACGTGGGTAGATTTTAATTGACAATTTTCTGGTTGCATTAAATTCGACTTGATGTATTCATAACTTTTGCCGATGTATTTATATAGCGTTGGTGCGGCCCTTTCCAACCTGTGCACGTACTGTCGTATGACGGAAGGGTCCAATCTAATCGACCCCGTTTTTTGAAAATTTTCTAGAAAAGGATTCTCCCAAATTGAACTAAAAAAAAACATTTCTTCAACAGTTCAACAAAAAATCTCGTTCCAAACTGCTGCAACTGGTATTCTAGATTTGATTTTAGTGGGAAAAAACATACAGATAGTGAATATTGAAGACATTCAAAGGGATAACTATTTTAGCAAACTCTCGAATCATTTCCCTATCAAAGTTAAGTTTAACGTTGAAATATCGTCCTTGTTGCAGCGAAATTGCTGCAAAGATTTGATTTATAGCTACTGTAAAGGCGATTTTGGAAAACTACGAGAAACGTTGAATAAAACGAAATTCGAACCTTTCTGTTGGTCGAATCCTAATAAAGTTCTGGAATTATGGTATAGCTGGCTCAATACCGCAATATCTCAGAATGTACCAAGGAGAACAGCGCACAGAATGTCGCTACCACCGTGGATTACGCAAAAAACATCGCATTACATTAAGTGCCTTAAAACTGCGCGGAAGAATTTTCCAGAATTTCATGACAAGGTCATAGCATTAGCTGATTTAGTTGATACCAGTGCAGAAACTGACAAAGTTGAATACGAACAAGAGCTGGCTGCAGAACGAGCATCGTCAAAATTGTTCAAGTATTTCAAAGCATTTAGGAAGTCAAATCTCCCGCGGAAAATGTTTTACGAGTCTGTCTCGGAGGAGACAGACAAGGGTAAATCAGAACTATTTTCTATCTTCTTCTCTTCCGTGTATACAAAATCGACAAAATTTATTGAAGGGTGTAATGGAAAAGAATGCGTAAAATCGATTACCACTGTAAATTTTTTCGAAAAGGAAGTAATTGAAATTTGCATGAACTTGGACATAAACAAGAGTAAAGGACCCGATGAAATTCCACCAATAGTGTATAAAAAATTGTGCATTACTCTTTCTCATTCTCTTTCACAGTTATTCAGAAAAATTTTCCAAACAGCCATTTTTCCAAACGATTGGAAACAAGCAATTATAAGTCCATTATTTAAAAAAGGCGATAAATGCCAAGTTACAAATTACAGACCGGTATCTCTGTTATCAATAGCTTCGAAAATTTTAGAAAGGATTATTTTTAGACGACTTTACGATCATTACCATTCTTTTTTTCACGCAGCTCAGTTCGGCTTTAGGAAAAGACGATCAACGATTCTCCAATTGATAATCTTTTTGCAAAAAGTGTACCAGGGCATTGAAAGTCAACATGATGTTGACATAATCTTTACTGACTACAGTAAAGCTTTTGACAGAGTGGATCATGGTATGCTTTTGAAAAAACTTTTTGAAACGGGCATCAGAAACAAGCTACTGAAACTAATCGAATCATACTTGACAAATCGAGTACAAGTCGTGCGTATAAATGGAGTAAACTCGTCACCAAAACAAGTTACTAGCGGTGTCCCGCAAGGGAGTATTTTGGGCCCCATACTTTTTCTGGTTTTTGTTAACGACCTCCCGAAAATGTGCGATCAATTGTTTCCCCTACTTTTTGCCGATGACGCCAAATTTCTCAGCGTGGGTTTAAGCACAATAGATATTCAAAGTGATTTAAATGCGTTGTATGACTGGACCGTTAGAAACAACATGCCCTTCAATATGGATAAATGCTGCCTAATTAAAATGTCCAAAAACGAAAAACGATTGCTTTTTGGAAACGAATTGATTAAAACAGAGGAAACTCAATCTGATTTGGGGCTCATGCTTTCCTGTGACTTAAAATGGAATTTGCATATAAATAAGGTTTGCTGCAAAGCAATTCGTGTTTTTCACATGATAAAAAGAAGCGTATCGAATCTTGGACAAAAAGCTAAACTGGATTTGTATAAATCTATGATCGTACCAATACTCACGTACGCAAGTCCATGTTATGGATTAAGTAAATACATTATTACGGAGCTTGAAAATGTACAAAGGCGTATAGTTAAATGGATAATTCCGCATATGGATTCGTACAAAGATCGGTTAATCGAAATTTCACTATTGCCACTGCCAATTTATATACAGATCAACAACCTTTTGTTGCTGTCAAAAATTTTATCGAAAAATTATGATGTTGACATGTTGAAAGTTCCATCGTATTCCTGTTCCTCGCGCGGTTGTATGTTTCAGCTCGAGAGGCCGAAAAAGAAATTTTTGGAGGACGAATTCTTTTACCAAACATGTCGGCTAGCGAATGTGATCAAAATTGACGTGAGAGTAACAAGCAGACTGAAGAAGCGAATATTGTGGTTATTTTGGAGAAAATTTGAGAAGGACTACGAACAAATGAACAAGTGCACATGGAGAATTGCTTGCGATTGCACAATGAATGACTGTAGAAGCAAAACTTCACTATAGAACGAAAAACTGAAAGGGGGAAACCCCTTGTGCTACGAGCACAAAAGCCCTACTACTACTACTACTACTTTGATAAGACCACTAACTAAGGTTTTGGGTGAAGCCCAGTTTTTGAAATTACCCTTGTCCTTATGTATCAGTACAAAAATTCAAAATCTATCAAAACAGTTATTTACAGCTTTAGCTGGCCTCTCTAGTCTCTAAGGAAAGAAATAATTGTATATTCTAGTTTTATTGCGTTTTTGCCAATAAATTGGAAGGAAAAACTGAATTTTCATTTGTGAATTTTTGTCTTTCACGCGCTTTTTTCATTGGTCGCTTTTGTGGAAATCTATGCAAATTCATTTTGGCCAATTGTCAAAACAACGCTTTGGTTTTGAAGCAAAACTAAATTTAGAGATTTTGTTGAAATTAAAAGGAACTGAATCTGAAATCAATTTTAATCGTCAAAACAATAAGTGAACATTACAATTATTGAAGTTTCGACCATTATTTGACATCGGTGTTTTCTTTATCTGAAAGTCTGGCTGTCAATTTTAGATTGTTGACTTGAAATTTATGTCACTGTGGCTGCAAAAAAACGCATTACTACTGAAAGAAACATATGCCATTATCAAATTGATGTAGATTTACCGGAGGAGGATTTTGAAAGTGATGTGTCAACGCCGCTTTTGCCTGATCGTCGCAAACGTTGTTTGAAGAAAAGAAGTACACAAGAAATAATGGCCGACAAAATTACCGAATTTGGCTATAACATTGCCCGTAAATATCGCAAGTTCCAGCGCGAGTACAAACTGCTAGATGCCTCTTACGACATTGAACTTGGTCCAGGTAAATGAGATCTGTCTGATTTTTAGCCTAACTTAATTCTAGTTGCATCCAAAACATTTGAAGGGCCGTCTCTTGTTCACGCGAGATCAAGTGTATTTTTGGAATTAAAATTTACTAAGCCTGATTCATTTAGTTTTGGTTGTATTTTAATCGGCGTTGAATCCATCATAAATTATCCAACAGAAGCATGTTCAGCACTTTTTTGTCATTTTTACTATACTGATAGGCAAGATTGTTGCTACCGGGCACTAGACTTTTTCACTGTAAATAACTTGGATTGCAGAATGACTCAAATTGGCGGAAATTTCCAAATCTGCTTTTTTCCTAAGTAGCTGTCAAATTTTTAGCATGTTTGCATTTAAAATACCCGTTCTATTCCAAATTTGTTTTCCATTTTTCTCTTTTTCCTTTATTAGGCTTAAGCGGGTTCATTTGAAATCGTTTGTTGAGCAAATAAGGTCATTGTCATGTAAACGTTTTAAGGGAACTTTTTGAGCTTTTAAATTTTTTTAACGAAACCATTTGTCTCTGCTCAGATATTATCGGCTGTGAAGGTTTCGTTTTAATGCTCAATTAACATCAATTGTCGTACTTGGCTTGTTTTTCTTAGAAACTTTGTTCAAGACAAATATAGTTTCGGTAGATCAATTTTTCAATTAAAAACTTCTGCGGCTTTTGTCTCATATTTTCTGTTGGTTGAAATTCTTATGCTTTTTAAAAAGGTAAATTATAAAAGGGGCCCTTCCGTCAGGGACGGTCGTGCACAGGCTGGATAGGGTTCATACCAGCATTATATAAATGCATCAATAAACAATATTGCAGGAATTAAGTCAAGTCAGCTTTTAATGCGTTGTCCTTACTTCAACCGTCCCTCCTCTATAATGGCACTAATTGAATTGTCTTTGAATTGCGTCCTACGCAGTGATTTGCACCCCCGTATAAAAAGGATAGCGCTCCTGAGCAGCGCGAAGCTTACTTTAGTTCTTATATAGTTTATTGTTTCTGAGTAGCTTTAATGCCTTTTTTCACTAAGTTTTTCAGCTATGCGCTGCCTTGTCCGAGTAGCTGCTGGTGCGGCACCACCAGTGCAACCAAAAATGAGTAAGCAGAAGCTGCGCTGTTCGACTTGTAGAACTCTCTGTTGGAATATTGAGTTTAGTAGTATTTCGTGGTACTTAAAGGAGTCTTTCAGTAGTCTTCGTGAAGGTTTTGCGTGCGGTGTGAAGACTTTGACATCAAGGAAGGTTCGGCTAAACCTTGAGCCCCATAATCCGTTTGCTTTTACATCTAGTCGAGCGTCTTCATCAGTTCTTTCAGTCTTACGTGTTTTAATTTTTGTATAGATTTTTTCTTGCTCAGATATAGCTGTTAATGGGTCGTATGTGTCTAAGTCTGACTATGTTTTAATTGACCATTCTAAAAGTTTTCATATTCAAAAGGTAGCTTGATATTTAGACCACCCATTTTCAGTGGCAAAGAAGCGATTTATCTAAGTTGATCGCTGATATTAGCTTTACCATTTAAATTTGGAATGAGTTTTTCCTGCAGTATCTTCTCGCAGGCCTGCATGTTTTCTGTGGTATTGGGGGTAGTTCTAGCTAAAAACGATAATTTTTCTTGTACCCCTGTGGTGTAACAGGAGTACACGTTTTGTGGTGATGTTTTTGGCGATATTGTCAATTTTTTTTAGTATTTTGTTATGTCCTTCCAACTGGGTTCTAAGAAAGTTTTACATTCAATTTTGGATCCTATGACAGAACCAAGTACTCTGGCCCCTTTCTTCATTTCAATTTCGGTGTTTCTGAATACTTTTATCGCCTCATGGTATTTCTCATCTTTTACTATGAGCTGGCATTTCGATGCCTTCAATGATATCCAAAATATTTTCCTTGTTTGATAATGTTGTCAAGAGCTGTTCGCAGGCTTTACAAATTTCCGACTGCGTTGCCATTGTCGACATACCATTTCTGAGTTAAGCTGTTATCGTTGACTAGTTTTAGTAAACGTAAAGGTAAGCTGTTATCGTTGACTAGTTTAATTAAAGGTACATCGCCATTGCCAATGGTCTCCTTGTGTGGTTCCTTCTCTAGATAGGATAATTTTTTTTTCTACGAAGAGTTTGAATGGATTAGATTATGAGTTCTGTATAGCGGGTAGTGTGTTTTTTCTGTGTTTCAGTTTTTATTTACGAAGAAGTTGGATGGATTAGAGTAGGAGTTCTGTATAGCGGGCAGTGTGTTTTTGTGTTACAGTACGGATGGGTCGTAAAAGCGTTTAAAACTTTTTAGCTCAAAATTTTTTTTGCCACTCAGTAAATTTTTTCCGAATGTTTTTAAAGGACGTTGATAAACATCATTCGATGCGAACATGACTTTTTTAGGTTTGTTTTGAAGTTTGTTCAAGTAATTTTCTCAATTTATTTAAATAATAATTTTCCGACTTCGGTCTCCTGTTTTGTATTTCTGAGACTCAACTTCGAGTCTCCTTTCCCTGTAGCCTACAAGTAGCGTCATTGCTTGTGCATCGTTAGGTTTGAAGGTCGAGTAGCAACCCTACCTTATTTTTTCACTATGTATAGAATTGGAACTTATTTTTCGGCCCAAGTTTTATCTGCTTCAGCCTAAGTTTTAATATGTCGGCTTAGTTTTTCTGATTTCTCTTGCGCTGTAAGCATTGTTCTTTGCAGTTGCAATTATTGTTCATTTACTTCTGTAAGTTAAAAATTTCTAACCTGGCTATGAAAGATTCACTTAAATATTTTTATTTAGCTCAGAAGTTTTATTTGGCGTTCAACGTGCTGATACTGCAGTTTTTCAGCGTGCAGTTTTTTTTGTCGTTTGGAAAGCAAAAATTCATTACTATTCAAAAAAATAACTTCAGGTTGGTTGTGTAAAAGGTTGAAGTTTGGAAGCTTAATCGCTCAAAGATTTTTTCGTCAACAATTCCTTCTATCGCAAATGATGCGAAGCTCTGCTTCGCATGTTATCTTAATTTGTCACCAAATGGAGATATATTGAGATAATGTTAAATTAAAATTTCTGCCTTTTACTTAATTTGGTTTTCTAAAAATAATTTGATTTGAAAAATGGCTTGCAATTCTCTCGTGGTCGAATTATTGATGTTTCAGGAATTATATGAGCTGTATTGTGCCATATAGTTTTGAAATATTTGCTTTGCTAGTTCTTTGTCTTTCGGTATAGCTACCTGCTAGTCGAACTTTTTTTTTAGCTGTTATGGATATTTTAAGTGTTCAAGTTTTTTTTTTAAACAGAAATGAAGTTGGTAGTTTTTTTTCGTAAAACTTGAAAATGTTTCGAAACAATTGGGGCCAAAGAAAGTTTCAATTGAAATGGACTCATCTGTTATGCAAGGGTAACTGCACAGGTTGCAGAGGCCATACCAGCGTTATGAAAATGCAATAACAAATATTTTAAGTTTTTAAAGCAGCCAGGGATTTGTTAAAATCTACTTTGCTCGATTATTGCGTTAATTGAATTGAATATGCTTTTCAGTTCTTACACAAAATTAGCGCAACAAATTTGCTGGATCAACTTCCAGAGTTTGTTTTTGGTACATCATAGTTTTGACGTAGTCGTGATATCAGATATGGTCTTGACGCCCCCCCCCCCTCTCAGGGATTCGACTCCCTGCCGACCCAAAGGGTCCCCCCTTTGTACTATTTTGAGATATCCATATTCGGTGACGGACCCTAAAAATTTTCTAAAGGCGCCTTGGGCGCCAATATATACTTACTTTAAAGGAGGGCGCGCGCCAAAAAAACGCAAATTTTTTAGTCAAATTTTTTTAAAAAGTGCATAAAAACGCCTTTTTTGGCCTGTTTTTCAAAATTTTGCCTGCGGTGCAGAAAATTTAACCTAAACAGGGTCTTTATTGCTTTGGGAGAGCTCGGAAAATCAATTCGGGTCGACCTTAAAAAAAGTCGACAAAAACTTCGAAAATTTTTGAAAATCCGCCCGCCCCCCTCGAGAAAATCCTAGATCCGCCCCTGGTCTTGAGGGTTTTTTTTCTGAAGGAGTAAGGATCTTCGAAGGCTCATCTAAAATGGCCTTCCCAGAGTCCATCTCAACATGGAGGACTTCGTCTAGGTTACTTACGAAAATGCAGTGAGAGAACAAGCGAATGTCCACAGGGTCTTGTACGATTGCTTGTTTTTTCCCAGCCATGTATCAAAAGTAGACCCTCTATGAATTCTGATTTGTTGCGAAAGATTGTATTTTTTTTAAAGAGAGCATCTACAATTATTGCAGTGCTCACTCTTATGATGCTCCTTTTTGTGTTAACTGTATTTTTTCATCAGCAAATTACTACAATTTGTATTCTTTATATAGCGCGATGTTTTTCTTGATTTTTTTGGTAATCATTGCTTGTTTCATCTCGACCGCTTCTGGATCATCGTTTTTAATGGGTCATATATGGATTGTGACTATTCATAATTCCTAGAGGTTTCAGTTTTTCTGGGGACATTAAAGCCATCCATTTTTAAGAATAAAGCAAAGAGACAGTGTCTAGTCGAGCGTCTTCATCAGTTCTTTCAGTCTTACGTGTTTTAATTTTTGTATAGATTTTTTCTTGCTCAGATATAGCTGTTAATGGTTCGTATGTGTCTTAGTCTGACTATGTTTTAATTGACCATTCTAAAAGTTTTCATAGTCAAAAGGTAGCTTGATATTTAGACCACCCATTTTCAGTGGCAAAGAAGCGATTTCTCTAAGTTGATCGCTGATATTATCTTTACCATTTAAATTTGGAATGAGTTTTTCCTGCAGTGAGTTTTTGGAATGAGTTTTTCTATGAGCTGGCATTTCGATGCCTTCACTGATATCCAAAATATTTTCCTTGTTTGATAATGTTGTCAAGAACTGTTCGCAGGCTTTTCAAATTAGTGTTTTTGTGTTTCAGTACGGATGGGTCGTAAAAGCGTTTAAAACTTTTTAGCTTAAAATTTTTTTGCCACTCAGTAAATATTTTCCGAATGTTTT